GGGGGGAGTCCTCTATCCCTGCTGCAGCCCCAGGGCAGCCTGCACCCCGACCCCCTCATCCCTGGCTCCACCCCAGAGCCTGCACCCCCAGCTGGAACCCTCACCCCCTCCCTCTGTCCCAGCCCTGAGCCCCCTCCCGCACCCTGAACCTCTCATCCCTGGCCCCACCTGAGCCCTCACCCCCGCATCCCAATCCTCTGCCCCAGCCCCACCCCTCAGCCCCCCACAACTCAACCCTCTGCCCAAGCTCTGCCCTGCTCCCCACAACTTCACCCACGGCCTGTCCCCCCATGCCAACCTACTGCCTGCCTTCACCTACTGCCTGCCCCCTGCCCTGCTCCCCACACCCTCACTGACTGCCTCCCTGCCCCGCCCCTGGACCCAGCTCTCCACACTGTGCCCGGGCCCCGCTGTCCCTCCCTCCCTGCTCCAGGGCCCTGTTCCCACTCGCTGCTCCCTGTCTCTGCAGTTGTGGGGCCAGGATGGCATGAAAGCCTCGGTGGGGGGCTTGAGCTCTGCCCCTCTGGTGCCGCCAGGTGGGGTTTGTGCAGTGCCTGGGGCCTGTGGGGGGCTGGTGTGGTGGGGAGCCGCTGCCGAGGCTGCTTTTAACCCCCCTCTTCTCTCTAGTCCGCCGAGGAGGGAGCAGCCAGCACCATTTACTGCGCCGTCTCGGAGGAGGTCGCAGACATCACGGGGAAGTACTTCGACAGTGACTGCAGGCTGGTGCTGCCCTCTGCGGCTGCCCGCGACCCGGGCCTGGAGCGCAAGCTGTGGGAGGAGTCGGAGCGACTGACGGGCCTCACGGAGAGCGGGCGCATGTGAACAATGGAGCCTGTCGCCCCTGCCCTGCAGCACCCAGCGACTCCCGCGGGCGCAGGGCCAGCTGGCCTGCGGGAGCTGGGACCTGGGGCGAGCAGGAGGGGAGGTGGGGGCTCTGCTGGCAGAAGCCAGACCGGCAGGAGGGTGGGAATTAGCGGAGTCATTGCAAGGTAGGGTTGCCAACTTTTTACTTGCAGAAAACCAAACACACTTGCCCCACCGCTGCCCCTTCTCCGAGCCCTCCCCCCATGTCGCTCATTCTCCCATCCTTGCTCATTTGCTTATTTTCACCGGGCTGGCTCAGGGGGTTGGGGTGCGGGAGGGGGTGAGGGCTCCGGCTGGGGGTGCGGGCTCTGGGGTGGGGCGAGAAATGAGGAGTTCAGGGTGTGGGAGGGGGCTCCAGGCTGAGGCAGTGGGTTGGGGTACAAGGGGGTGAGGACTCCGGCTGGTGGTGGGAGATGAGGGGTTCGGGGTGCAGGAGGGTGCTCCGGGCTGGGGCCGAGGGGTTTAGAGGGTGGGAGGGGGATCAGGGCTGGGGCAGGGGATTAGGGTGCGGGCTCTGGGCGGCGCTTATCTCAAGCAGCTCCCGAAAGCAGCGGCATGTCCTCCCTCCGGCTCCTATGCGAAGGCGCAGCCAGGAGGCTCTGTGCACTGCCCCATCCGCAGGCGCTGCCCCTGCAGCTCCCACTGGCTGCAGTTCTCAACCAATGGGAGCTGTGGAGCTGGCTCTTCGGGCATAGGCAGCGCACGGAGCCCCCTGGCTGCCCCTACGCCTAGGAGTCAGAGGGGGACATGCTGCTGCTTCCGAGAGCTGCGCGGAGCCATGGCAGGCAGGAAGCCTGCCTTAGCCCCGCTGCGCCGCCAACAGGACTTTTAACAGCCCAGTCAGTGGTGCTGACCAGAGCCGCCGGGGTCCCTTTTCGACCGGGCGTTTTGGTCGAAAACCGGACACCTGGCAACCCTATTGCAAGGGCCCACTGGTCTCCGTGCTGCTGAGTGCCAGCTCCTCCTCCACCCTTCCTGCCGCCTGTGGCAGCCCCGCCCGTTATCTGGGGAACAGTTCAGAACTAGCCTGGGCAGGGCAGGGCCCTGTCTACACTACCCCACTCCAGTGGGGGCCCTGCTTGGAGGAGCCTCTACAGCGCAGCTGCTGATGGGGGGCGGGCCAAGCCAGTCAGCAACCTCCTCAGAGCCCGAGCCCGTGTCCCGGCAGTATGCAGGGCAGGCCTGGCATTGGGCCCCTCGCCGTCTCCCCCGGGCCCCCCACAATGGGGCCCTCGCTGCCCCTGTTCAAGGCTGTGCCGAGGAAAGCGCAGTCCCAGGGAGGCTGACAGAAGCTCGTTCGCAGGCGCTTCCCCCCCCGTGTTCACTCTGCTTTATTAAACACAACTCTCTGGGGCCTGCGTGCGGTGTGGGCTCCTTCCCGCGGCACGGGGCAGAGGGGCAGCGTCCCAGGCAAGGCAGGACACCTCACTGCCATGCGATGTCCAGCTCCAGCCTCTCCTTGCGGACGGTGCGGAGCAGCTGGTCGTAGTCCCGCCGGTGGATGGCCGGGCAGCCGGCCAGGTTCAGGGAGCTGAGCCCGTTGTCCAAGGCCAGCAGGCAGTGCAGGGTCGGGCTGGACACCTGGCTCTCGGCCAGCGACAGCTCTCGCAGATTGCGGAGGGCAGCGCCGGGGGCAGCCAGCACCTTCTGGAACACGCCGTCCAGGGAGAAGGGGATGCTGAGCAGGGCCAGGGTCTCCAGGCGGGGGGAGTGGCTGAGTAGCGAGGCCAGGCTTGCCCGCAGGACAGTGGCATGCTGGGAAGGGAGAGGCTCACACGAGCTGGCCAGGCCCAAGCTGAAGTGCCGGAGCTTGGGGAAGGGGTGGTGGAGCAGGTCCAGCTCCCAGTCCTGCGGCTCCGCGGCAGGCTCCCCGTTGGGCACAGCGTCGGCCGGCCGCACGGGCCCCGCGGGGACGCTCAGGTGGCTGCTGAAGGCGGCGAGGTTGTGGCAGCAGTTCAGCAGGGCGCAGAAGGAAAACTCGTCATCGTAGGAGAAGCCGTGGAGGGAGAGGGACTGCAGCTGGGCTCCCAGGCCCTGAGCCACGGGAAGCATCTCGGCCAGCCCCCGGCCCCGGTGCCCCGTGCAGTGCACGGCGAGCTGGGTGAGGCGGCTCCAGGCCAGGCTGCCCCAGCTGGTGCCAGGGCCGTCGCTGAGCGACACGGCCGCCTCTGCCACCTCCGGGCACACGGAGCAGAAGGTGGGGAGGAAGGGATCCTCCACCTCCTCCACCCGCCGGAGCGGCAGCGTGAGCCAGGAGTCGCCCCCGGCTGCACGGGCACCCTGCCTGCGCCGGGCCAGCTCCTCCAGCGAGGGGAATCCCGGCAAGCCCTGCGCGCCGCTGAACTGCTGCGTGTGAATGAGACACAGCGCCTCCCTGAGGTAGCTGTTGGCCAGGAACTCCAGGCTGGGCAGAGCTAGCAGCACGAAGGCCAGGGCTCTGACCAAGTCCTGGCTGTGGGCCTTGGGCTCTATCCCCTGGGCCAGCAGCACCCGCAGCGCGGGGCAGCACAGGGCGCTCTCGGTCTGGTCGTAGGCCAGGTGCAGCAGGGAGTCCGGCGCCACCTTCTGGCAGTGCGAGACGTCCAGCTCCCGCAGGCGCCGGCAACAGGAGCCCACGGCCGCCAGCACCTGCGTGTTGGCCTGCGTCTCCGCCAGGCCCAGCTTGCTCAGACGCGGCAGCCCTTCCAGCAGGTCCACCAGCGCGGCCGTCGGGACCCGGCTGCAGCCCTTGAGGTCCAGGGAGGACAAGTTCTGCAACAGGAACCAGGGAGATAGACCAGGCGCTTCCCTTGGGGGGTTAATGACTGGGGGGGGGGCCACAACGGGCTCCTCCATTAGCTCCAGGACGCAGGCAGGGGTCGCAGCAGCTTCTCCCCTCCCCCCGGGGCAGGGCCCCACCCTCACGGTGGAGAGGGACCTGTCCAATCCTGGCTTCACCTGACTCTGGGGAGGGGCAGCAGGCCAGTGCTGTGCTGGAGCGAGGCAGCCACTCCCCTAACTGCCGTGCCCAGCACCCCGCCCCCTGTCTATTTACACTGGGAGCCCGTCACCCACCACACCCACTCCGCGTGCTGCTGGGGGAACCACTGACCTTCCGTGCAAAAGCCAATCAGCGGCTAAGGCACGAATAGAACCCAGGAGTCCTGACTCCCAGACAATATCCCCCCCGCCCCCGCTCCCGCTCCGCAAACACTAGACTAATTTCCTCCCAGAGCCGGGGATAGAACCTAGTACTCGTAATTGCCAGCCTCCCCCCAGCTCTGACCACTGGACCCCACCTCCTCCCAGAGCTGGGGA